ATTGAACCACTCAACCACTAGATGTCGCTGAAAACAACAAATCCTACACACTGTGCCTTTAAGTGTATTCATTCATTTATTGGTTCATTTATATATTTCTTTTATTTCTAAGGATGTCAGTTTCAGTCCTCCAGCATGGGTCTGCCTGTTAGCAAAATATCCCGAGAACCACCGGAACGAGTGAGGAGTGATCACAGGTTACATTTAAAGTTAACTTTTCCAAGATGGCCGACAGCTATCAAATATACAACAAAAATGGATCTGACTGAGTTACTTTTACAGATGTTAAAGGAAAACGTTGCGTTGTAGTAGCTGAGAGTCATCCCCGTCACACACTGAGAACTAACAGGTTGTTTTTAACACTTTGGTGCTACTTTTTAATTTCTTTATGTTTAATTGGATGAAAATGTTACAATAAAATCTGTTACATGTGAATCCACGGCTGCAGCAGCAGAGGTTCAGGTCCGATCCTGTCGTACGACTCAGAACCCAGACAACGGGAGCTCGCGGGCTGCGTCAGCTGCTCTGGCCGGCCTCCAACGGTCCCCGGGGCGTCGGAGCACGACTGCACATAAAGASAGAGAGATGGATTAGACCGGGCCTGCAGCAGCACTAATCAGCCTCACCTGGCCCACTTCCCTGAAGCAGTCTTGAGGCCTTGGCCACAGTTTTTTTTTTTTTTGTTTCCCCTGCAGCTGCAGAAAGCTCACCTCAACGCAGGATGATAACTTGTGATGTCATCATCAAAGTCTGGAGGTCCTCCAGAAGATGAGTCTGTCCTCGGTCAGCTCAGAGACCAGGTCACAGACCAGGGAGGGACTCTGTAAACCAGCGGTAATTATTATCAGCTTCTTTTATTTTAGCGCCATCAGTCTGACGTCTGAAGCTTTAAAAGCTGCAGCTTAAATATCAGCTGCAGACAGAAAACATTGCATTTCTCATCCGTCTCTTTTCGGCTGTTTTTGTCTCGCTTGCTCCATAAATCATTCTGTAAATGTTCGTCCTTCTTCTGCACACTTTTAGCTGTTCATATACATCAAAACGTTCGGCTCATTCAACAGATGGGTGCTTTGAGTTTTTGAAACTAAAAACATTTAATTTTACAAACATTTCCCCGTAGAAATGTTTTAAGATCTTTTCAGTTCTTTCAAGAAATATTTCTTTTTTTTATATTTTAGCCTCAGTTAGCTTTTTGAAAATTTACCTTTGAACCAGACTTAAGAAATGTTAAGCATTTAGCTGCTATTAAGCTACTTTTAGAATTTAGTTAGCCTTTTGTACGTTTCTGTCTTTGAACCAGGCTTAAACGTTGAGCACTTCACTACTATTTAGCTACTTTTAGCTTCTAGTTAGCCTTTTGATACATTTATCTTTGAACCAGACTTAAGAAAAGTTTAGCATTTAGCTGCTATTCTGCTACTTTTAGTTTCTAGTTAGCTTTTTGATACATTTATCTTTGAATCAGACATTTGAAATGTTTATTTTAGCTACCATTAATCTACTTTTAGCCTCTAGTTAGCCTTTTGATGTACCAGACTTAAGAAACATTAGCATTTCTGCTACTTTTAGCCTCTAGTTAGCCTTTTGATACATGTATCTTTGAACCAGACTTAAGAAATGTTTAGCATTTAGCTACTATTCAGCTACTTTTAGCTTCTAGTTAGCCTTTTAAAACATGTATCTTTGAACCAGGCTTTTGAGCACTTATCTACTATTCTGCTACTTTTAGCCTCTAGTTAGCCTTTTGATACATGTATCTTTGAACCAGGCTTAAGAAACGTTGAGCACATCGCTACTATTCTGCTGCTTTTAGCTTCTGGTTAGCCTTTTCATTCATTTATCTTTGAACCAGACTTAAGAAAAGTTTAGCATTTAGCTGCTATTAAGCTACTTTTAGTGTCTAGTTAGCCTTTTGATACATTTATCTTTGAATCAGACATTTGAAATGTTTATTTTAGCTACCATTAATCTACTTTTAGCTTCTAGTTAGCCTTTTGATGTACCAGACTTAAGAAACATTAGCATTTCTGCTACTTTTAGCCTCAAGTTAGCCTTTTGATACATTTATCTTTGAACCAGACATAAGAAACATTTAGCATTTCTGCTACTTTTAGCCTCTAGTTAGCCTTTTGTTACATGTATCTTTGAACCAGACTTAAGAAATGTTTAGTATTTAACTACTATTAAGCTACTTTTGCTTCTAGTTAGCCTTTTGATACATGTATCTTTGAACCAGGCTTAAGAAACGTTGAGCACTTCGCTACTATTCAGCTACTTTTAGCTTCTAGTTAGCCTTTTGTTACATTTATCTTTGAATCAGACATTTGAAATGTTTATTTTAGCTACCATTAATCTGCTTTTAGTTTCTAGTTAGCCTTTTGATACATGTTTCTGTCTTTGAACCAGACTTAAGAAACATTTAGCTACTATTCAGCTACTTTTAGCTTCTAGTTAGCCTTTTGTTACATTTATCTTTGAATCAGACATTTGAAATGTTTATTTTAGCTACCATTAATCTGCTTTTAGTTTCTAGTTAGCCTTTTGATACATGTTTCTGTCTTTGAACCAGACTTAAGAAACATTTAGCTACTATTCAGCTACTTTTTAGCATCTAGTTAGCCTTTTAAAACATGTATCTTTGAACCAGACTTTTGAGCACGTAGCTACTATTCTGTTACTTTTAGTTTCTAGTTAGCCTTTTGTTACATTTATCTTTGAATCAGACATTTGAAATGTTTATTTTAGCTACCATTAATCTGCTTTTAGTTTCTAGTTAGCCTTTTGA